GCGGGTCAGGGCACACTGACCTGACCTGGCCAGGGGGCGCGGGGAGGGCAGAGGCTTCTCTGACTCCAGGCACCATCAAGTTGTCTCCGAGGGTATGAGCCCAGGGCTCTGCGGCAGGGCACCGGGGTCTTGGGTCTGTGGAGTGAGGACCGTGGAAAGTCGGGGCAGAGGAGGATGGAGACCAAAGGCAGAAAGGCAGCAAGGAGACCTCAGGGGAGGAGCCTTGGAGGAGGCAGAAGAGGGCTGGGCTCCAAGCACAGACCCTCGCGAACTGGTTTGAAGCGGGCAGCAGCGGGCAGTCAGCAATTAGGCGGGGGCCTGCGGTGCGGAGCAGCTGGGGGGGGAGCTGCCTGGCTCCGTGGCCCCCACGCCCTGGCGAGGCCTCCCCGGTGAGCGGTCAGTTCCCGGGCACGCTGAGGATGAAGCCCGAGCGGTTCTTGGTGAAGTCGGGCTCCGGCTGGTTGAGCCGCGTCTCCACGGAGACCGTGCACTTCTTCCCGTGCAGGCTGCACTGCACGGGGTTGGTGACGTTGACTTGAAGGTGGCGCTTCTCACTGGAAGAACCGAAAAGAGAAAGCCCAGACGGGCAGTTAGCAGGCAGCCGGAGTGGGGTGTGCTTCCCTGGCAACCCCTGGGGCCGGCCGATCGCCAAGCTGCTGTGGGCCTCGAGGGTGGCCTGGGGCCACGGTCCCAAGTGGTGCCCCCGGAGAGGGCGAGGGCGGCCAAGGCCGGGGCTGGGCTGCAGCCTCAAGCCAGAGCCAGCAGCCAGCAGCTATCAGGGGCCTGCTGCCCGGCTCCGCAGCACCTGGCCTGTCGGGCTGGACCGGAGTGGGGAAACGTGGTGGCACCGGGGCCGCCGAGGCTCTGGCCTCAGGCTGAGGGCCTTGTCGGGAGGGGCGTGGGGTTCTGATTCGGGACGACTGGTTGTCTTTGGTGGCAACTGGGAGGCGCGTCCGGGGGTGACTGGAGGTTCTTGCCCGCGCGCCCTCCCTGCCCAGAGGAATGGCTTCCAGGAGTCCCGCCCCGGCTGTGCCCAGCGGAGAGAGGCGCCTTCTGTCCATCCGCTCACTCCTGCTGGCTCAGCCCCGGTGCCCGGGCTCATGCCCCTTCAGCTGCTTTGTGCCTGAGAGATGCAAGGGGTTAAGAGGAAGGCCTGCGGCATCTGCTGTGGGTGCTGGCCTGGTGCAGCAGGGCCCCCGGGGCCCCTGCCCTTGCGCCGCAGAGGACGGACGCAGCCGAGGTGTTTCAGGCTTCCTCCTGCCCCTTTCCCGCCTGCTCTCTCACGGGGTGTGTCCCACGGGCAGACAGTGGATCAGGAAGAGACCCGAGGTTATCACTTGTGGGCATTAGGTGTCTTAATACTTAATGTCTTGCCGGCTGCAGCTAAAACCTTGGCTTAGCTATTTTTAATCAGACTTGGACATAAAAATAGAGTCCACCAGAGGCAGTGACTCAGGCACGGCTGGGTTCCTGGGGGAGCCAGGGCTGCTGTGCAGGGTCGAGGTGTGGGGCCCTGAGACCCTCGTCCCGCTGTCGGGCTGGCCCAGGGCAAGCCAAGCCCCTGCGCTCAGCTCTGCCCGCAGCTGGAGATGCCTCTGGGACCCCGAGCCTGCACCTACCAGGGCTCGGTCAGCCTCCGTGTCCCTCGTCACCCTGCCACAGCCTCTGGGCGCCTCTGGCCGGAATCATGTCCTCTGGGGATGTCTCCCTTCTGACCCTGGCAGAGGCCTCCCCTTTGGCCTTCCCTCAGTGCACTGCTGGGGACAGCCTCTGCCTCCCGCCTTCTGTGTCTGCGCCTCTCCTCCCTATGGTACAGCAGTGTGCACACAGTAGGTTCTAGATGCGCCTGGGGGACTCAGTCCTGGGGAAATGGCTCTAATAGGGCCACATTCCAAACACTGAGGCGGGAAATGGGACGCACCAGCCACCCCCACGTTCTTGTCTTGGTACAACTGGGACATTGCTACTTTCAATAGGGCCCTTCGGACTCCAGACCCTTCCCAGCGCCCTGAGTACAGTATCTGCAGAGAGCTGCCCCCGACTTCACTCTTTCTCCCTCTTTTGGGCTCTGGGTGTCTCCAGTATCTGCTCTGCAGTCTTGGTGCAGGGTCGAGGCCGGTGGGAAACCTAAGAGGAGCGAATGGCTACCGTGGAACGGGTCACAGGGTAGCAACGCCCGACTTCGCCTTGAAAACGGAGGCCCCGGTACAGGGTTGCAGGATAGAGAAAACCGCAGAGAACCAGTGCTCTGATTTGCTTCTCCCCACACTGGGCGGGGCTGGGAGTTTCTGTCCCAGCCTTTCTGTGTCCCAATCGAGGAGCAGTCCCAGCACGGGTACTGGTCTCCGCTTTTAGAATGAGAGCCCCTGGAGGGCAGGGAGGACCTATGGGGCTCACACACTGCACTGTGTGCACAGGGATGCTCCCCAGGTGCTGTCGGGGGACATGTACATTTGTTGCTGCACTGCTGTCGTGGGCTCACAGGGCCACCATGACGTGCGGGCTCATGTCCTCTGCTCGGCCGGCTGCTTCCTCCCAGGAACACATCTCTGCCAACCTCACGTGCTCCCTGCAGCCTCGTAAGTGCCGGGCACGATTGGTTGAGATCCTTGTAGGGCTCTAGAAGGGAGGCCTGCTACTTAGCAAAGGAATATTCCGTACTGTCACCTTAAGTGACAGTCTGTGCCTGTGCTCCTGCTCCTTCCCTTGGCATAGCACTGAGTGGCCCTGCCCCAATTCCCGGCCTATCTTCATGGGGTGCTGAGGGGTTTTCCCAGAAGAGGGGGGTGAGGGGCTACATGTAATGCTTTTTAAGTATTTATTTTGCAAGAGAGAGAACAAAAGAAGGGGAGGGGCAGAGAGAGAGAGAGGAAGAGAGAATACAAAGCAGGCTCCCCACTGTCAGCGCAGAGCCCAGTGCGGGGCCCGAACCTGTGAACCACAAGATCATGACCTCAGCTAAAAACAAGAGTCAGATACTTAACCGACTGAGCCACCCAAGCGCCCCTACATGTGATGCTTTTAGAACAGAACAACGTTGCAACAGAACAACATTGGCTGGAGGAAGAACCAACTTTCTGGTCTCAAGAGCTGGGCTAAGCCATCATCTGCCAGTGCCGTCCGCACACGGCCATCGACAGGTGACAAAGGAAGATGACGTGGTTCCTCAGTAAGTCACACATAGAATTATTACCACGTGACCCGGCGATCCCTTCCACTCCCGGAGATCTATCTGAAAGAACCGAAAGCGGATGTTCACACAACATGTGCAGGAATGTTTATGACAGCATTATTTACAGTAAACAAATGGCAGGACCAATCCGAATCTCTACCAACTGATGAAGGGACAAAGTATATCCATTCGATGAAGTGTTATTCAGGAAGTACTGACACAGGCTACAACATGGATGAACCTTGAAAACATGCCAAGTGAAAGAAGCCACGTAGTGTAGAATCCCACTTACAAGAAATGTACAGAGTTCCCAAATCCATTAGAGACAGAAACAGGAGTGGAGTGGATAGGGACTGCTTCCAGGCTTTGGGAGGATGAGAATATTCTGGAACTAGACAGTGGTAATGGTCGCACAGCACCGTGAATGTGCTGAATGTGACTAATGGTAAATTTACGTGTCTTTTACAACAATAAAAAAAAAAAAAAGTGGATGGATCTAAAGGAAACCTAAGAACTTGCCTTCAAACCATGTTTTCTTTTCTCATTTCAAGCTCAACTGAAATGGTTTTAAGACCAGCAAGGGGGTGCTTGTGCCTGTGCTGGAGACAGGACAGTAGCTGGGTACAAGTGGCAGAGAGGAAGTGGACATTCCGGAAGGGTCATCTGACCTCTCTTGCTGGAGCTTCCCCACATTGGAGATCTTCATAAAGCTCGAGCACCTTCTTCATTTTGTAGAGAAAGGAGAGCAGATTTAATAGGTGGGGGCAGGGTATCTCCCCCTGATGGCACGCCAAGCCAATGACAGCTGCCGTTGGAGGCTGGCTGCAAGGGGGAGGGGTTTTTTTCCTCCCCATCTTCTGTTACAGGATTTAATGGCTCAGCAAACTCTGGAATTCGGGGACTTTCATCTTGTTTCATCTGTTCTAAGCCATCACTGCCGGCAAATGGCCTTTATCAAATTACGTTCCTTCATTTTGCACCTAGGCTCCCGTCCTCATGAGAGAAATCTGTGGATAAACGCAAGACCCAATCCATGGGGGCCCCCAAGTGAGCCCTGTATTTTTTGTAGGGCCTGCACAGAGCAGGGCAACAAAAGTCTCCCCGGGAGCTGTACCGGCCCAGAAAATGTCTCCTCTCGTCCAGCCCCGCTCGGCTGGGACGTGGAGACGCCCACCCACTGGTCTGCTCCGATGCCCCCCAGGACTCGCAGAAGCGAACAGGCCAGCTTCTCTTCTCAGTGGCGTTGCTGGCATCCCCTGCTGGAGTAGTGGTGACCCTGTTCTGCTAAATGCACTTTGAAGGGAAATGGAACGGGAGGGGGGGGCAGGGCAGGGCACTGCCTGTGAACGCGTCCTCTGGGGGCTGGCGAGGTGTTCCCGAGAATGTGAGGCTAACGCTACGCGCTCCCGTGTTTGCTCACAGGACGTGGCGGGAAGAAGCTCGCCTGGCACCGAGCACAGGCAGGTTGTAAACGGACGCTTCTCACAGTCATCAGAGGTGTAGCAAGCGTGCCGTGACGGGCCCCAGGGTCCCTGGGTCAGGCCATTCTCTGTTTGGGCACCAGCCAGGCGCAAACGCGGAGGCTCGGGCGCTCGCGGGGGCAATGCCACGGAAGGGGCGTCTGGAGCTCGTGTGTGTGTAGCTGCGTCACTTCAGGAAGCAAGGCCCGCTGCTCGTGTCAGACCACAGAGGCCTAGGAAGTGCTACTTCTGTTTTTGCCGGGGCCGAATGGCTCCTTGGACTGCGGTCACTTCTAAAGCAAGTCTAACGGTCCAGCGCCATGCGGTCCTGAGAGTGGGGGTGTCCCACCTCCTGGTCTACCGAGTCCCGTTCGAGTTTGCCTCTGGTGAGGTATGGGGTCACCACTTCTTTGTGGAAGATAAAGCTCCCCTTGTCATCGCGTGGCTCTCCGCAGGCAGCTTGTCCCAAGGCCCCCCGCCCCTCCCCAGCCTGGCGCCCGCCTCCACAGCACTGAACCGGTGGGCAGAAACCCCACGTGCCCTACTTGTGGCCCTGCCTCTGCTCTCTCTGCCCTGGCCACCATCACGCTTTTAAAAAAAAATTTTTTTTAATGTTTATTTCTGAGAGACAGAGCACGAGTGGGGGAGGGGCAGGAGAGAGACGGGGAGACAGAATCTAAAGCAGACTCCAAGCCCTGAGCTGTCGGTACAGAGCCCAACTCGGGGCTCGAACCCACGAACCACGAGATCATGACCTGAGCCAAAGTCAGATGCTTAACCGACTGAGCCACCCAGGTGCCCCAAGGCACTCCCATTCTTGACGGGGTGACAGGCACACATGAACACCCTGTGATTCGCATGGGATGCATGCAGGAGGGCCACGTGGTGACATCAGACTGGCACCTCAGAAGAAGGGGGACTC